CCACTTATCTTAGCCGCAATGATGCCTGACATGAGCTTCCATGTTGTGGAGAGACGGGTTATTGGCCGGTACTTGGAGGTGATTACACCCTTGACAGGGTCCTTCATGATCAGGACCGTTCGCCCTGCGGTTAGCCATTCTGGGTGAGTCCCATCCCTCAGCAGCTGGTTCATTTGTGCTGCTAGGCACTCATGGAGTGATGTGAGTGTCCTTAGCCAGTAGGCATGGACCATATCAGGGCCAGGTGCTGTCCAGTTTTTCATACCTGAGAGTCTTTCTCGGATGTCTGCCTCTGTGATGGTAACTGAGTTCTGTTCTGGGAGGTGGCTGTGCTCCTCTCTCAGGGACACCAGCCATTGTGCACTGCTGTTATGTGCTGCATCCTTCTCCCATATGTTCTTCCAGAACTGTTCAGTTTCCAGCCTTGGTGGGTCTGCTCCCTTGTTGTTACCCTGCCACTGAGCGTACACCTTCGCAGGTTGTGTTGCGAACAGCCTGTTCACCCTTCTGGCTTCATTCTCTTTAGTGTACCTCTGTAGGCAGCTGACAGCACTTCCTGGTTCAACAAATGTATTTGGATAACTGACCTCCATAATAATGTTCATATTAACCATTTGTCTTACTGTGTTCACAGTTTTATTCCTGAGAATGTAGAAAAGACATAGAGCAAAATCCCATTAGCAATAAGCAACTGATAATAAGAGATTTATTAGATTAAAATGTATGTTTAAGAAGATGGCTCAATGAAAATATGCATTGTTGTCCTATGGACAGACTCCCACCTCAGCTGTAGTTATCTGCAGTTCATCCAGAGTGATCATGGGCCTCTTGTCTGCATCTCTGATCAGTCTTCTCCTTGTTTGAGATGAAAGTTTGGAGGGATGGCCGGGTCTTGGTAGATTTGTAGTGGTCTGATACTCCTTCCATTTCAATATGATTGCTTGCACAGTGCTCCTTGAGATGTTTAAAGCTTGGGAAATCTTTATGTATCCAAATCCGGCTTTAAACTTCTCCACAACAGTATCTCGGACCTGCCTGGTGTGTTCCTTTGTCTTCATGGTTCTCTCTGCGCTTTAAACAGAACCCTGAGACTATCAAAGAGCAGGTGCATTTATACGGAGACTTGATTACACACAGGTGCATTCTATTTATCATCATCAGTCATTTAGGACAACATTGGATCATTCAAAGATCCTCACTGAACTTCTGGAGTGAGTTTGCTGCACTGAAAGTAAAGGGGCCGAATAATATTGCACGCACCACTTTTCAGTTTTTTATTTGTTAAAAAAGTTTAAATTATCCAATAAATTTTGTTCCACTTCACGATTGTGTCCCACTTGTTGATTCATGACAAATTAACATTTTATATCTTTATGTTTGAAGCCTGAAATGTGGCGAAATGTTGAAAGGTTCAAGGGGGCCGAATACTGACACACTTTCTCAATGAGTCTTTCAATGAGTGTCCTTTCTTTTCATAACTATTGACTGTAGATTCACACCCATACACACACATTAGGGTTACACAACTACAAGAACCCAAAGCCCCATAAATAAGGAATAAAACATAAAAACATGTTTGTATGCATTTAGGTAAGTATAAGTGAGTATTTGTGTGTGTGTATATGTATGCAAGTGTGTGTATGTATATGTGTGCGTGTTTGTATGCTTGTGTGTGTGTGTATATATGTATGCAAGTGTGTGTATGTGTGTGTGAGTGTGTCCCCTTCAGAGGCTAACATCTAACATATGTGTGTTTGGTGGCAATTATTTTTCTACATTATATTGATAGCAGATTCTATTTCTGAAGTGTTTTAAACACAACCATATTTTTGTTTATTATGATGTATAATAATATGATGACGACAACGAGGACTATACTAAAAGAACAGTTAATTTAAATAAGTTACAGGTTAGTTGTGAGAACGCTGGTGTGAATGTGTGTATGTATGAGTTTTTTGGAGGTTTGGGTGGGGGGGTTACCTGTTTGTTCACTTTTGGTTTGTGTACAAGAAATACAATTATAAAAATAAATAAATAAATAAACATGTTTAGGTCTGATCTCAGTCCCAGAGAAGATCGCTCCGGACACCGTGATGCTGGATCTACAGAACAACGACATCACACAGATCAAAAAGGACAACTTCAAAGGCCTCACCGCTCTCTACGTAAGGTTTATCTGAGCCATCTGAACATTTTTAATGAGACGCCTGTAGATGAAAGTCTGATCCCTCAGACCTCTAAAGCTAAGAAGGACAGGCCCTGTTTAGTACTTTGATGGGAGACCTCTGGGAACACCAGGTGCTGCAATGGGAGGGCTTTAAAGTTTCAAACTGTTTTTGTGTCATTAGGCAAAACACTTCTTCCAAATTGCCTAGAATGATTCTGGGTGAGTATGTGTGTGTGAGAATGGTTGGTGGTGGAAGGTTGCCTCGTAGTAGTAGTTTATAACCAACATACAGTACCGACCAAAAGTTTGGACACACTTTCTCATTCAATGAATGTCCTTTCTTTTCATGACTTTTGATTGTAGATTCACACCCAGGGCGACAGTAGCTCAGTTGGTAGAGCATTGGCTTAAGGCCAGAAGGTCGTGGGTTCAATTCCCACCTCTGTACCTTCTCCATCGACTCCCACTGATGACTGCTGTCGTTGTGTCCTTGGGCAAGACACTTAACCCCAATTTGCCCAAAGCCCCCACTGAAAGATCAAGGCTATGCTCACACTCAGAGAGCAGCCGTCCTCCTGTGGACTCACCACCTGCAGAGGGTCAGTGAGGGGCTGGTGCTATGAGACTTGGGTGGCATCTCTGATTGCCACCCCCCTGACCCAGAAATGGATTAAAGGGTAGAAAATGGATGGATGGATGGATGGATTCACACCCAGGCTGTGTAAGGGCTATTTGACCAATGAGGAGAGTGGTGGGTGCTGGGCCAGATGACCTGGCCTCCACAGTCACCGGACCTGAACCCAATCCAGATGGTTTTGGGGTGAGCTGGACCACAGAGTGAAGGCGAACGGGCCAACAAGAGCTAAGCACCTCTGGGAACTCTTTCAAGACTGTTGAAGACCATTTCAGGTCACTACCTCTTGAAGCTCATCAAGAGAATGCCAAGAGTGTGCGAAGCAGTAAGCAGAGCAACAGGTGCTACTTTGAAGAACCTAGAATATAAGACATATTTTCAGTAATTTCATACTTTTTTTTAATACGTACATAATTCCACATGAGTTAATTCATCGTTTTGATGCCTTCAGTGTGAATCTACAACTTTCATAATCATGAAAATAAAAAAACTCTTTGAATAAGAAGGTGTGTCCAAACTTTTGGTCTGTACTGTATATATATATACATATATATTGTCGAGGAAAGAAAGTTAACCCTTGTTTAGTTTCCTCTCATCCAGGTTCATTGTTGGAAGCACTGTACAGTTAGCCAAAACGAGACAAATGTAAATGCGCCAGCAGGCATTTATTGTAGATCACAAGTTGCGTGGCCACGGGGCTAATACAGAGTTCAGCCGAGTAGTCTTCCTCCGTCTTAGCTGCTAATACAAAGTGTGCAGTAACAGACATAGATGCTGGCCCCTGGGGCAGGCCTTCCCCGAATATTCATCAAAGGTGGGCAGCTTCCCTTTCTGCTTATTGTCCCCGTTCTACAAAGTAGCAATACCATGTCCTTGGAGGATGTTATATTTCTGCTCAGCTGTTAATTTCCCATAAAGGGAATATTGTTCACCAAATATGTCTAAATGTATCAAAACAGAGAATCAAACTTGTGTTACTGTAAGCATGTATGCAAGCACACACAGGTCCAGTCTAGTCACGCTGTGGCTCAGTGCTGCTCTCTGATTGGTCAGAGTAGGTCCTGGGGGTGGATCCCACACATTCCTGACCTCAGAGGTATTTGTCCCGGAGCAGATCTTAATTTATGCCAGTGGTCTGCTCCAACAGTGAAGTCGTAATAATAATTATACTGTAAATACAGACTGCAAGCAGCGATGAACGACCCTCGCTTTCGCCAAACCACGCCGAGCAACCGTGGAACACAGGGACATGCCTCTGAGCTGTGTCACATGTGAGGATTCCACCAAAGGGAATCTACCATAAGATAAGATAAGAATTCCTTTATTCGTCCCACAGTGGGGAAATTTCGATGTTGCAGCGCACAGACAGGACAGTAGTAAGAGCACACAGGGAGCACACACAATATATACAAAAAAGTAGATGCTGAAAATGCTTCAATACCATCTCTTCACTGTCATTAGCACCAAAAACATGCTTTCAAAGACTAGCAATAGAGTTCTATTCATGTGATCTGAAAGATATATACCCCTAGTTTAAGGCTACATACCCCAGCTTTAAAGTCACATACCCCAGCTTTAATGCTGCCCCGTCAGTCTAAAAGCTCTCTTCTCAAAGTTGTCACATCCTCGGACTGTGACATCATGAACAAAATAATCGAGTACTTTTACTTCAGTGCTCCAATACTTTGATCCCAGCAGTTTTAGTCCCGCCCTTTCATAGATCCGCCGCATCCCATTGTCCAGTGTGACCCGGATCTCACAGACACAACTCAATCCAGACCTGGTTTGGTCCTGGTTTAGTCTGGGTTCAGACCGAGTTTTACTCTGGGTTCAGACTGGGTTTAGTCCAGATTTGGATCTGGTTTAGTCCAGGTTCAGTCCTCGTTCAGACCTGTTTAGACCTGGTTTAGACTGGGTTTAGACTGGGTTTAGACCTGGACTGAAACTTTAAACCAGTGGAAAAAACCTCTTTAAATATTCAGCAGTGGAATCAGAGCATAAACTCCTGCAGCAGACCACTGCTACTACTGCTACTACGGCTACTGCTACTACGGCTACTACTACTACTGCTACTACTGCTGCTACTACTGCTACTACTGCAACTATTACAACTACTTATACTATTACTGCTACTACTACTACTGCTACAACTACTACTACGACTACTACTGCTGCTGCTTCTCTCCCCTGCTGTGGCCCATGCTGAGGTAAGTGTGACATTTGGATTTCTCATCAGATACAGTACATAGCAGTAGCAGTAGTAGTAGAAGTAGTATTAGCAATAGTAGTAGTGGCAGTAGCACTAGCAGTTGTATTAGTATTCTGAGGTCTGGGCTCTGTCATTGACAGGACAGTTTAATGTTTACATTCTGCAAACACGTCAGACCCGGACTGTACCCGGACTGAGGACTCAGACCCGGACTATAACTGGACTTGTTTCTCTGATCTTAGGTCATGTCTCAGGACTGGGGGCGTCGGGGAAGTACTCCGGTCCAGACTTTGGACCGGACAAAGACATACACCAATTCAGACCCAGACCAGGACCCTGACCCAGCCTCAGACCAGGACCAGAGTGGATCCAGAGCCCAGAAACCAGACCTGGACCAGGAGCAGGACCAGAGCGGGTTCAGACCACAGAGACCACACAGGGTCTTGGGGCAGTCGGCCTCATACCAGCCTGGAGACTCCATCAGGTATCATTCTTCAGAGGAGATCAGGTCGTTGGTTGCAGAATTGCTGGGCATTAGCAGGTGCAGGGACACACTGTAGGCGGCGGACCAGATCCTGCTCAGGGACACAGTGTCTGAGACCAGTGTGCAGCAGCTGTATCCTCAGCACCTGTGTTCATGTCCATACACCTGTGCTAGTCCAGTTCCTGTGCTCCCCAGAGTCCCACCAGGAGACCAGTCCCTGTGTTCCTCACAGTCCAAGTTGGTTCACATAGCACTAACATGTCACAGATGTACACACTCTTCTCACACGTCCAGGTACCGGTCCCGCTGGCTCCAAGAGGTAGACCAGGACCAGCACCAGGATGAGAACCAGGACCAGGACCCGCACCAAGTGGTTCTGATTGGGGACCACGACGTCGGAAAGACCAGTCTGGCCTCAGTGTTTGCCGGGACCACAGACCAAGACCAGAGTCCAGGTCAGGACCAAGACCAAGACCAAGACCAGAGTCCACAACCAAGACCAGAGTCCAGGTCAGGACTGGGTCTGACCTCTCTGTATTGATCCTCTGATTGACAGCTGGTATTGATCACTGTCAGCAGAGGATTGGTGCAAGTTTTAGACCTGTTTTAGACCTGCTCTAGACCTGCTTTAGACCTGCTTTTGTCTGGCTTACTCTAATCTTGATTTAGATCTACTTTAGTCCTGGATTAGACCTGCTTTAGTGCTGTTTTAGTCCTTCTTTAGATCCGCTTTAGGCCAGTTTTAGTCCTGCTGTAGTCCTGGTTTAGACCTGCTTTAGTCCTGGTTTAGTCGTGGTTTGGACCTGCTTAAGTCTTAGTCACATATCCAAACTGTTTCAGAGGCGAGGGTTGAGAGGACGCTGACCGTGGATGGAGAGGACACCACTCTGACCGTGATGGACATGTGGGACCCCTTCAACGCGGTGAGCTGCCCACCCCAAGACCAGGTCAAGGTTAGACCAGCTGAGACCAGGTCCAGGATCAGGCACAAAGATGGCCACCGGATCAATCCTAAAAAGAATGATGTTTCTCCAATAATATTGGAACCTGATCATGGTCGAAGAGGTCACAGTCTATTTAAGCAGCTTTAGATCGGGTTTAGCCCTGGTCTGGTCCTGCTTTTGACGTGGTCTGTGTCCCATGTGTTTCAGGAGGCCTGTCTAAGTACCGGGACTGTGTTTGTCGTGGTTTACTCTGTCACTGATCGCCGTAGTTTCGAGGCAGCAGCGGAGCTCAGGATCACTGTGCGGAGAGCGAGACAGAGCGAGCGAGTCCCGGTCATCCTGGTGGGGAACAAGAGCGACCTCGTGAGGGCGAGAGAGGTCACTACACACGGTACGAGAACTACTGCTACTTCTGCTTATGGATGTGGGAATTATTTTCTGAGAGGGGGTTCGAGTTTATTTGTAGTGAGGGTCGAGGGAGAGACGCACATTTGGATTGGACTGGATAATAACATAGCATCTCAATTGTTAAGAAAAGGAAAATTAAACAATGTAAATCAAGTAGGGCAATAGTTGGAAATAGTTTATTTCGAAGCTGGCATAACAAACACAATTTTGCTGTATGACCCGTGTGCACTATCAGACCCACACACATCTCCAAATAACAATTTAGACGCACGTCAAGAAAAAGTAGGCCATGTACATTTTTAAAAAGATTTTTTCAAAAGCTGTAATTATAGAACATGTCATGTCATTTTCTTGCCCTTTATTAATCAATTTCCGGTTGTGGGGGGTGGCACTCACAATGCTCAAAGCACCAGTCCCTCGCTGATCCTCATGCAGGTGGTGGGTTCACAGGTTGATGATGGTTTCTCCGTCCTCGAAGACATGGCCTTGGTTTTTCAGCGGGGGCGAAATATATTACTTGTTTACATTAATATAAATTAAATGTAGATCATTGTTTATTTTTTTTAACAATAAATGGATAGGCCTGGGGCCTGCCTGGAAGACTGTACTGTCTACCATAGAAAATTGTGAGTACTTCAGTACTTAACGTGACATAAAGCAATGAGAAATAATTTAGCATGTCTTTTTATAAGCTTGTTCACTACACTCAGGTTACAATTAATTACAAAAACTACCTATTTTGTATTAATCCTACAAAATCTAATCTTTCATTTGGCCCTCGGTGTTTATATAGCCTATATATAAACACAGAGGGCCAAATGAAATATTAGGATCTGGAGCCTAAACAAACACAGGCTAAAAGCGGGTTCAGAGAGTATTTGTGGAACAGGAGCGCTTACTGTTACTTTGACACAAAGGTGTGTAGATCGACGCATTGCGTGTGTGGAATTTGAAGACAGTGATGTCTGGGCTAAATATTAGAAGTAAGATTAACAACTGTCCACATAATAAACTCATTTGGAATCAATGGGATTACCTGCTGCGAAGCGTCGGACAGAACACGGAAATATGGACCCAAAGCAAGAGGCCAGAGGTAGAGGAGCAATCAGGCCAGCACGAGCAGCCAATTAGGACTCACCCTCAAATTAAGAGCCCGCCCACACCCCGTACTGCCACATTCCGACCCCCAAAACTGACAAAGTGACCACACCCTGCAAGGTCTACGGGGCTTGAATTCTGGGTGGTAGATTTATGGGCTTTGGAAGATGACGGGTATTAAACTGTCTTCCAGTGGTAGACCGTGTAGACCTGCGTACCTGAGTCTCACTAGAGTAACAGGTGGCGTCCCTGTTACCCAACACAAGTGGGGGTGGTGCAATTGTGGGTGCATGTGTGACATAAAAGGGCCCACGGACTGGAGAAGTAGGCTGCACCGGTGCCCTTGTGATGAATGGCACGTTTACAACCTCCTGAGGCTGCAGAGGGTCCTGGTGCAGGAGGAACAAATAGAAGGCCCAGTGTCCTCTCGACGCCTTGATGCCCATGTTCCTGATGGACTTGCGTCAACCCATGTTCTGGAGCAATATGTGCCCCATCAATAAGTGGTGGCCATGGCTGACAAGACAATGCATCAGCAATTCTGTTAGACTTCCCTAACAAGGCCAACTGGGCAGCCCAGCGCTGCTTTACAGCTCCCATCTTAGCAGAGGAGCGATGGCTTAGGGGGTTATTGTAAGTAAGTAAGTAAGTAAGTACATTTTATTTATAGAGCACCTTTCACAGATAAAAATCACAAAGTGCTGTACAAGGTAAAAGCAGATATGTAGTACAATAGAAATAAGACAAAAATAGAAAATAACATAAAAACAAGAAATTAATCAAAAGCTGTCCTAAAAACAAGGGTCTTTAGTCCCTTTTTAAAAGGGACTACCTTTTTTGTCTGTAAAGACTACGCACTTGTGACCCAAAAGATATAGTCGGAACTTTTCTGTCATTGCCTACTTAAGGGCCAATAGCACCAACTTCATGGAGCTATAGTTTTACATATTGTCCGTGTGAGAACACTGCACCCAAGCCCGTATGGCTGGCGTCTATCTCCAGGATAAATGGTAGGGAGAAGTCTGCATAAGCTAGCCTGACTCTCACCAGACCCATGTAGTTTGCTGGACTTCACACCTCTGGTGGAGCATGGCGGAACTACAAGGGTCTGGCAGAGCCAGGCTATGCATAAGCCAGCACAGAGGCAGAGACGTAAGCTTGGCCTTAAGGGCCTCAAAGTTCTGTTGGCATTCACCAGTCCAGGAGCTGGCTGCACTCTGAGCAGCCCTCTTCTGAGACCAATGGACTACCAGCTCGGAAACCCTACGCTGAGGCAGCCAGTTTGGCGAACCTGTCCACAGAACGTCGGTAGTACATAGCTGGCAAACCCAGGGAAGGAGCGCAGGTCCAAAGCCGTAGACATGCTAGTTGGCAACGACCTCAATTTTGGCGGGGTCTGTGGCCACCACCCGGTCTGAGATCACGTGCCCCAGAGAGTGAACTTTACAGTAGAAAAAGTGGCACTTACTCAATTTTGTCTTTAGCCTTCAGTCTGTAACCTCCGGAGCACCATGTCCAGCCTCTCCAGATGTTGCCTTACCGTTGACAAGAGCACCACGATATCGTCAAGGTAGAAAAGGATGGGACTGGCACTGCTGGTCACCAAAGATGCGCTGCATGAGCCTTTGGAAGATGTTGGGAGCATTACAGAGTCTGAAAGGCAAGTGATTCCTCTCAAAGAGACCAAATGGGGTACAGAGTGCCACCTTCGGCGACAGGGGACATGGTTGTACTCACTAGCCAAGTCCAGCCTTGAAAACCAGCAAGCCCCTGTCAGAGCACGTCCATCAGACATGTTACAGCATCACTCCCATTCGACAAAACAGGCAAATAGATTTGCAAATCATCTGCATAGATGATGATGATGACCATGAAAACTAAGATGTGTGTAGAAGTGACGCCATCTTGGATCGCCGGGGCTTGGCCGAGGTATGCGTCATTTTACTGACGTAGGCCGATGATGTGTCCTGTGGTTACTCTACAGCTAACAGCTAACAGAGCAGTCGACAACCTGACTGGCCTGTTGGGTTGGTAATGGAAATAATAACCAAACTAAGTTGGAAACTATTAGCTGTCAAGCTAGCCACAGGACGTGTCACCGGCCCACGTTAGTAAAATGAAGTATGCGGCAGCTATACTCGACAAGGAAGGTACTGCTATCACACTGCTAGCAGTGTGGTTTTACAGGAGCTGTTGACTGCTTAAGCCAAACTTTACACAAAACTTTGACTCTTAAAACCCACATGTAACAACATGGAACCATCAACATCTCTCCTCAAATTGCATTAAAAGTGACATTTGTGTCTTATATTTGTTCATATTTAAATTTTCTACACAATTCACGGACTTTGTGTCCGCCATCTTGGATTGCTTCGGCTACCGTGAAACGTGTATGCGCAGGTTTGCATTATATCATAAAGGGCAGCTCATCTCGACGGGCAGACCACTTTGACAGAACACGGGTATTCCAGGTCTTTAGTATTACTTTCTGTAGTACATTCAGCAGTATTTGCTGCAGCGGACCAGTAATGTGTCCTGGTCTTGTGTAGTACTTTCTACAGTATTTGAAATACTTTCTCTCTTCTCCTGCAGAGGGCCGGGCCTGTGCTGTGGTCTTCGATTGTAAGTTCCTGGAGACATCAGCATCTCTTCACCACAACGTCCTGGAGCTGTTCGAGGGTGTAGTCCGGCAGATCCGGCTTCACCGTGGCAACGATGCTAACCTGCTAACACTAATGCCACGTTATGCTAACCGCCGCAAAGAGAGCCTAACCAAGAAGGCACGGAGACTTCTGGACCGAGTCATGTCCCGGAACCAGACCAGGGAACGATCCAAGTCTTGCCATGACCTTGCTGTGTTGTGAAGCCCGAAGACCAGGGCCCAGGGACGTGGGCCCAAAGACCAGGGACCAGGGATGAGAGCCGGGACCAGGGACTAGAGACCAGACCAGGGACCCGGGACCAGAGCGGCATCAGCGCAAGGATGTTCACTGACTTGGCTCCAGTTGTATTTTGAGTGTTTTTCATTCTGGCTTTGCTATTGGTCCAGGTTGAAGATGTGATGTTTTGGTTTGTTGCATCCACATCAGGTCTGTGGAACCAGACTGAAGCTAAAGATAATACGTAAACAAAAGTACGTTGGCTTCATTCTGATTTTCATACCATGTCTCGGCAATACTTATTTTTGAGCTGTCAACGTTAACTTATGCTAAAGCTAATGCTAACGTTGACAGCGGGACAATGAAGTCAGACCTGCAGTAGCGAACATCACTCTGTGGACTACATCACCCAGTCGCCTTTGTGGTGACAGAATGTGAAGAAACTTTGATGTTTCTGTTGTCATAGATAAATCTTTTATTCACTGTCTAGACTGAAGGGGTAGCTGGAAGTCCACTGAAACACAAAGATTGGGTTAGTCCTGGTGTAGACCTTGTTTAATCCTGCTTTAGTCCTGGTTTAGTCCTGGTTCAGAACAGATGTGTGGTCTGAGCAGCGCCTGCAGGGCCCTGTACCTGCGATCCGTGTGGAATGGTTCTGGCTACTCTGAGTCCGGTTCATTCCAGTCCTGGTTCCAGCTGGTCCAGGGTCTCAATCCGGTCTAATACCATCTGCAGAAAGTCCTGGGCCTGTTGCGTCCGAAGGGTCAGGACTCGGGTTGGACCGGAGAAGACCTGGATCTCAGTCACATCCCTGAAACAGAGAGAGGATTAGGATCAGGACTGACACCAGGACTGACACCAAGGACTGACACCAAGGACTGAGACCAAGGCTAGGACAGAGACCAGGATTAGGACTGAGACCAAGACCAGGGCTGACACCAGGACCCAGACCAAGAGCACGAGCAGGAACAGCCCCAAACCCAGGTCTATAGCAGGTCTAAAGCAAGACTTACCGGTGCATGTTGCGGTGGAGGACGTAGCAATGCAGCAACAGAATAATCATGATCAGGACCAGGAGAACAAGAGCCACAGCGAACAGGCTCAAACTAGTCTGGTCCAAGTCCATGGTCAGGTCTCTGGTCTCTCTGGTCTGGTCTCAGGTCTCTAGTTGAAACTGTTCAAATCCAAAACAGAGGCAAGCAAAAGTTGCCATGGTAACACTTTGATTTTTAAAACTTTTGTGAAACATCTTTCCTTATAACTATGGTAACTATGGTTGCTATGACCGCTGTGATTATTATGGTTACGCCCTCTATGCATGTACTCTGCTCCACTGATCTTTCCTCACTTATCAAAGGTCAACATAATGTAAAGCTTAAAAATCTTGTCACGTCTGTGTAGCGACTGCTCATGTACCTGTGTGCTCTGTTTCTACTTGTCAGTTACTTACAGTATGTCATTCTTTTATAAAAGTATATTTTACTGACGTGTGCGAGTTCTGCCTTTAGCTGCATCTGAAACTCAAATGTCTAATAAACTGTTCAATCTCTTAAGTGAGTAAAGGTGCAAATCTCAGAGAAGAGTCACTTCACTTCACCGGTCTGTCGTAGCCGTGTTCTTTGAGGTCGCGTGTTGAGGCGGTAAGTCTGACCTCGAGAGACAGCAACCGGCTCGACAGGCTGGTCAGAAAATGTGTCTCTGTAATGGGGAGAAGTGTTGACTCTGGGAGCTGTGCTGAAGAGAAGGATGAGGTCTCTAATGCTCATCCTTCCCAGCACAAGACTTTCTCCATCGACTCCCACTGATGGCAAATTCAGACTGAAAGACCGGGTGAAACTCCCCCCATCCAGGCCAACCAATCACAAAGCGCTGCCAGCCTCGAGCCTCCACCAATCACACAGCGCTGCCAGCCTCCTGCCAACCTTCCATGGATCTATTATAATAACTGGATAGGGTATTACTAGCGTGTAGCTGAATAACTCATGTGCTCGGGGGATTCTCGCAGTACTGCAGACTGAACCAGACTAAATTCACGTGGGCTACCCAGAAATGTTCCCCATAGAACTCAATGTAAACTAAAACAGCTCAACCTCAGCTGACAGAGAACCTACAGCGCTTCCGGAGATCCTTCATCCCTGCTGCAATTCGATTTTATAACGGTCATCGCTGATGCAAATGTGTGGGGGTTTTAATTTTTTTTTATTATATTTATATGTATTGTCTTTTTTATCCGCTGTTTTGCTACTAAGGACAACTGAATTTCCCCTCGCTGGGATGAATAAAGTATTTATCTATCTATCTATCTATCTATTCATAAAGGTCAAATTTTGTGGGGATTTTAGTGTCCATTGTCATCCTGAACTTTTTTTCTTCTTAAATCCTTCGGTTTTGTTTAAATCCACACTTTACTGCCACAAACTCTGCTCGTCTGGCTCTGGCTCTAACTCCCGCTCTGATGAACTGCTCTGATTGGTCAGAGCGCGGCCGAGCCCCTCTGTGCAGTTGCGTGAGACCTGGTGTGAGACCCACACACGCGTGTTTGGTGCAACGCATTATGGGAGATCATCCACTGCGCAGAACCGGGAGGACCAGACGATGCCCAAATACAGGCGAGTTTCCCATAGATCTTTGCGAGTTCCAGGCGACTTCCGCTAATCTTTCAGCCCCCATGCCGTCACAAAGCGCCACTGAGCACAACCATTCATTTGAATAGGGCGCCATCTTGGATCGCCGGGGGTTGCAATCCTCTGACAGCAAATCGGGCCGTTTAAAAGGCAGCCACTTCCTGACAAACAGCGCTTCCTGAAGCTCTTAACTCCCACTCCCCAGCGCCTCCTCCAACTCTGGCTCCCGCTCTAGGCTCCTGCTCTGGCTCCCGCTTTAGGCTCCCGCTCTGGCTCCTGCTCTAGCTCCAGCCCTGGCTCATGCTCTGCCTGCGCCCCATTCACACCAAAAATGAGGGACTCCGTAAGGATCCATTACACACAATAGACAGTACAGTAAGAAAACACAATGTTCAGGGTGTGATTTTTTTACTACAGTATGTCATCAATAAAAATCCCTCTTTGACCTGCTCCTCTCTCTTTGACCTGCTCCTCTCTCTTTGACCTGCTCCTCTCTCTCTTTGACCTGCTCCTCTCTCTCTTTGACCTGCTCCTCTCTCTTTGACTTGCTCCTCTCTCTCTTTGACCTGCTCCTCTCTCTTTGACCTGCTCCTCTCTCTTTGACCTGCTCCTCTCTCTTTGACCTGCTCCTCTCTCTCTTTGACCTGCTCCTCTCTCTCTTTGACCTGCTCCTCTCTCTTTGACCTGCTCCTCTCTCTCTTTGACCTGCTCCTCTCTCTCTTTGACCTGATCCTCTCTTTTTGACCTACTCCTCTCTCTTTGACCTGCTCCTCTCTCTTTGACCTGCTCCTCTCTCTCTTTGACCTGCTCCTCTCTCTTTGACCTGCTCCTCTCTCTCTTTGACCTGCTCCTCTCTCTTTGATCTGCTCCTCTCTCTTTGACCTGCTCCTCTCTCTCTTTGACCTGCTCCTCTCTCTTTGACCTACTCCTCTCTCTCTTTGACCTGCTCCTCTCTCTCTTTGACCTACTCCTCTCTCTCTTTGACCTGCTCCTCTCTCTTTGACTTGCTCCTCTCTCTCTTTGACCTGCTCCTCTCTCTCTTTGACCTACTCCTCTCTCTCTTTGACCTGCTCATCTCTCTCTTTGACCTGCTCCTCTCTCTCTTTGACCTGCTCCTCTCTCTCTTTGACCTGCTCCTCTCTCTCTTTGACCTGCTCCTCTCTCTCTTTGACCTGCTCCTCTCTCTCTTTGACCTGCTCTCTCTCTCTTTGACCTCTCCTCTCTTTGACTCTCTCTCTTTGACCTGCTCCTCTCTCTCTTTGACCTGCTCCTCTCTCTCTTTGACCTGCTCCCTCTCTCTTTGACCTCTCTCTCTCTTTGACCTGCTCCTCTCTCTCTTTGACCTGCTCCTCTCTCTCTTTGACCTGCTCCTCTCTCTCTTTGACCTGCTCCTCTCTCTCTTTGACCTGCTCCTCTCTCTCTTTGACCTGCTCCTCTCTCTTTGACCTGCTCCTCTCTCTCTTTGACCTGCTCCTCTCTCTCTTTGACCTGCTCATCTCTCTCTTTGACCTGCTCCTCTCTCTCTTTGACCTGCTCCTCTCTCTCTTTGACCTGCTCCTCTCTCTCTTTGACCTGCTCTCTCTCTCTTTGACCTGCTCCTCTCTCTCTTTGACCTGCTCCTCTCTCTTTGACCTGCTCCTCTCTCTCTTTGACCTGCTCCTCTCTCTTTGACCTGCTCCTCTCTCTCTTTGACCTGCTCCTCTCTCTCTTTGACCTACTCCTCTCTCTCTTTGACCTGCTCCTCTCCCTTTGACTTGCTCCTCTCTCTCTTTGACCTGCTCCTCTCTCTCTTTGACCTGCTCCTCTCTCTTTGACCTGCTCCTCTCTCTCTTTGACCTGCTCCTCTCTCTTTGACCTGCTCCTCTCTCTCTTTGACCTGCTCCTCTCTCTCTTTGACCTGCTCCTCTCTCTCTTTGACCTGCTCCTCTCTCTTTGACCTGCTCCTCTCTCTTTGACCTGCTCCTCTCTCTCCTTGACTTGCTCCTCTCTCTTTGACCTGCTCCTCTCTCTCTTTGACCTGCTCCTCTCTCTTTGACCTGCTCCTCTCTCTCCTTGACTTGCTCCTCTCTCTTTGACCTGCTCCTCTCTCTCTTTGACCTGCTCCTCTCTCTTTGACCTGCTCCTCTCTCTCTTTGACCTGCTCCTCTCTCTCTTTGACCTGCTCCTCTCTCTTTGACCTGCTCCTCTCTCTCCTTGACTTGCTCCTCTCTCTTTGACCTGCTCCTCTCTCTCTTTGACCTGCTCCTCTCTCTTTGACCTGCTCCTCTCTCTCTTTGACCTGCTCCTCTCTCTCTTTGACCTGCTCCTCTCTCTTTGACCTGCTCCTCTCTCTCTTTGACCTGCTCCTCTCTCTCTTTGACCTGCTCCTCTCTCTCTTTGACCTGCTCCTCTCTCTTTGACCTGCTCCTCTCTCTCTTTGACCTGCTCCTCTCTCTCTTTGACCTGCTCCTCTCTCTCTTTGACCTGCTCCTCTCTCTTTGACTTGCTCCTCTCTCTCTTTGACCTGCTCCTCTCTCTCTTTGACCTACTCCTCTCTCTCTTTGACCTACTCCTCTCTCTCTTTGACCTGCTCCTCTCTCTCTTTGACCTGCTCCTCTCTCTTTGACCTGCTCCTCTCTCTCCTTGGCCTGCTCCTCTCTCTCCTTGGCCTGCTCCTCTTCCTCTTCTGACACAAACTCCTCTTCTTCTGCCTTGATCATCCATGACACCAGGTATGTTCATTGTGTTAAAGCTTTGCTGACTGTGGGAGGCTTTTTGCATCACATGAGCTTCACAATGCATATTGGAGCAGATATATATGCAAAATGTGTTTTAGCAAAGGCAAAATGTGTTTAGAGTTTTGAGAAAAAGGGGATGGGTTTGTGAACAGTGTCTACTTCTGAATTGTGTTTATGGTTATGGCAAGTGGGGGTAGTTTTACTTAATGTGTTTAGGCAACTGGTCATTTGGTTTAGAGTACTGGGTTTTGTGTTGTAGCAATAGAGAAAAACAGTTAGCAGAGATTGAAGACCTACAGCTGTGACCTGCTGCTTTTAACACTTGTGACTGTGGCAGATAAGTTGTTTACTTGTTGAATACAGAAACACCCCTTTGAAAATCTGTGAATTGACCTCCTCTAGCGTCACCGTCGGGCTAAACCTTAAAGTTAGAATATATACATGTATATATTTTCATTAAAATAAGTCATACAAATCTTTTCATGTGACCAAAAGTCTGGTTTTGGTGATGATCGATGTATTCATACTTTGAGAAAAGGTCACAAGTTGTGTACATTTAGTCATTTTTTCAACTAGGGATACACGATACCACTTCGTTCATAAGTGATAAAAGTACAAGTACAGGATTTAAGGTACTTGTCGATACCGAAAACCAATATGAATACTGCATTTTGTTATCCCAAGGAAATCATAAACCTAATTCAATTTGGAGAGACGAGAAAACAGGAAGTTTTGAGTATTTTATTGAAAGAGGTTTGGCGCCCTAGGTCCCGGTGCGGCCTTCAGATCGGAAAGGCTCCTGCGATGGAGCGCACAATCCCCCGGGACCTAGGCACTGGTGGCGGCATTTGGCAGCGGGAAGCAGATTGAAGGCAGATTGGAGGCAGGGTGAAGAGGAGGAGGAGGGGAGGCGGTGGTTGCAAGGCTTCGGAGGCCGAGAGTGGGAGTTCCTCCGTTTTTATGCGGCTGGCGTAGTCGGTACGGTGATTGGAAGGGGGCGTCTGTTGAGCGATAGGCTGGGGATGCGAGCCGGCCTGGAGGGGTAATTTTGGTTAACGTCTACCAAATTGAATTTTCGCGGGCTGCATTTCAATTTGGAGAGACGAGAAAACAGGAAGTTTTGAGTATTTTATTGAAAGAGGTTTGGCGCCCTAGGTCCCGGTGCGGCCTTCAGATCGGAAAGGCTCCTGCGATGGAGCGCGCACAATCCCCAAAAAGGCTGCGTGTTGATGGAGTTTTCGAAGCCTGGTTTGGAGGGGACAGACGTCGTGACTGCTCTATTCTGTGACCGCTATCGCTATATGCTGTGACCGCTATCGCTATTCGCTGTGACCGCTATCGCTATTCGCTGTGACCGCTATCGCTATATACTGTGACCGCTATTTCTATATGCTGTGACCGCCAGCGCAATGCTGCTAACCATTTTTTGCTATATGCTGTGACCGCTAACCATTTTTTGCTATGCTGTGACCGCTATCGCTTTATGCTGTGACCGCTATCGCTATATGCTGTGACCGCTATCGCTATATGCTGTGACCGCTATCGCTTTATGCTGTGACCGCTATCGCTTTATGCTGTGACCGCTATCTACTGTGATCAATACTTGCGGATACTCGGCTGCTGGCGGCGCCTATCCGGAAGGAGTGAGCTGCGTAGAGATGGGGAGACAGGTTACAGCAGCAGTACGGACTTTAGTTGGGCTCTGAACCCGTTGGATGACGTTGGGAGGTGATCGGGGGTGAGAATTAACGGTCCGTTGAGATCTCCTTTCCGAGAGCGGAGGCGAGTGTAATGCATCGTGGGTTATCTTTGCGCGCTGGGAACGTGAGCGTTCGCATCACGTTCCGTCAGACGCTGCGGCAGCGGAGAGTGTTTGAGAAGTGCGTGCCGCCACCAGAATCTTATTGCTTCACTTACTTTGCTTCGTATTGCTTTGCTGGGAGCTTGCGAGGAAGCCAGTAGGCGTTGTGCAGCCAGGATGGCGGACGCGTCTGGCCTGATGTAGGCGGAGAAGGCCGAAGAGGACCAGCACCCCAGCTGTTGGAGAGGTGGGGGAGCCCCAGCGAGGCCGCGCGCGTGGCAGCGCCTATCCTGAAGGAGTGGGCTGTATGGAGCTGGGGAGACAAATTGCAGAGGAGCAGTAGGGATCTTAGTTGAGCTCTGAACCAGGTTGCTGTCATGGGAAGGTTGTCTGGAGAGAGATGTGTCGGAGCGAGCTATTATGTTGCAGGCGCCTTGGTCTTTGAATGTTTGAGATGAAGGTTGAAAGGGTCAGGGGACGTTATGTTGGGTGAAAAAGAGCGACCTTTGTGTAATGCTTCCACTACGTCGAGATTATCGCGCATGACAGGGATCCTCTTTCTCTGCCACGTGTGATTCCGCGGCGCGCAGGCCACGACCGCTGGGAATATCTCGTGTAGGGCAGAGGAGATGCTCCGGTGGAAGTAGCGGCCACGGCCCGGCAACCCGATGGTCCTGGAAGAACCCCCCAAAACCCACGGAAGGGGCACGTCCGTGTAGAAGCGGAGACCTGTAGGGGCAGAGACATATCGGAGAGGGCCATTGATGATGCAGGCGCCCTTACGCTTAGAATCTTGGGTCGGAGAGTAGATAATCAGGATGGTAGGATGGTCGGGAAGCCGCGTCTCGGACCGCATGAAGGTTGAGTGAGCAGTGGTGAAACGCTTATGCAGAGAAGCCATAGAAGGCGAGCAGGAAGATGCTGCGAGGAGGGCAGACATGTACTTGGAAGACGAGCCAGAGTTCAGTGCCGCTCAGAGCCGCTGCAGGATGGGCAGCACGATGGGGGAGCCTGCGATCAGAAGAGTGAAGAATACAGGTATGGATGCCTTTGATTAGGAGTCCGATTGACGGCTCAGCGCAGCTACTCGGCCGGCTGCATCTGATAGAATCAGAAGATTTAGGTAGAGAGATGAAGCATGACCGCCGAAGCGACCCTGGGAGCATAGGTACGAGGCCAGCGCAGCGCGGCATACTCAGCCGGGCAGCATCCATAGAAACAGGATAAGCTTCTGAGAGAGTGGGTTGCAGCAGTAGCAGTAGCAGCAGCGGCAGCAGCAGTACCTCAGATAATAACAGCGATAACCTGTATCAAGCCGCGGCAGCAGCAGCGGCAGCAGCAGCAGTAGCAGCATCCTTAGAGATTAACAGTAATAATCCTGTATCAAGCCACAGCAGTAGAATGTCGTCGTAGCTGATCAGTGTTTCATAGCTGTTCAGTGTGAGGGATTTAAACAGGTTTTACGGTCCAGTGATTTAAACAGGTTTTACGGTCCAAGTGAGGGATTAACTGAGCCCGCAGTCCAAGTGAGGAGTTTAAACTGAGAGCTTACGGTCCAGTGAGAGGGATCTAACAGAGCCTGCAGTTTTTTTTTTTTATTTTTTTTTTTATATTTATTTATATTTATTTATATTTATTTGTTTGTATTTATTTACATGTATTTATTTATATGTATTTATTTATTCATTTATTTATTTTTAATATATAGCGTTCCAGATATAGGCAGTACCATATATGCAGTTCCATGTACTGCATAACAGTTCCAGGTATAACAGTACCATATAAGCAGTTCCAATATAGCGGTTCCATATATAAGCAGTTCCATATGAAGCAGTTCCATATGAAGCAGTTCCATATGAAGCAGTTCCATATGAAGCAGTTCCAGAACGGTACAGCATTTCCAGATATAAGCATTTCCAGATATAAGCATTTCCAGATATAAGCATTTCCAGATATAAGCATTTCCAGATATAAGCAT